CCGCTCCTCCTCCCGCCGCCGCCCGCGCTCGCCCCGCGCCGGCTCCGCCAGGCCTGCCACTTACCGCAATTACGCGACGCTCCCCGTGCCGTTTTGCTTATGAAACATGGATTGCTAGTCATGCGAACTTTTAAGCACTATATTAAAACTTTCGAAATGAAGGCGCTCTCCTCAGATTTTTAGGCACGATTAAAAGATATGAAATGTAAAGATAATGCAATTTGATTTGTTAGTCTAACTGCGATTTGAGACTTGATGTCCCCAAAGACCAGGCGAGTTTTCCCCTTTATTTATTTTTATTAAAACATCAATCTACGCTGGAGCTGGGTGAACTCGGTTTCACCTGGAGAACATAAAATTCTCCATACCAGAGAAATAAGCACCTTTCATAAATCAGCGGTATTCCTGACACATCGATCAATTTTTGGTTGTTAATCCGAAAGGAGGAGTTTTAATTGCTTCCTGCGTTCTCTTCCAGGCACCTCGGCATTTCGACCTTTCCCTTCCTCCCTCCAAGGGTCTCACTTTTGTATGGAGGGGAGGGGCGGGGATTGAAAAATCCCGGGTCCTTCTACTAAACCCCGGGAACCCCCAATCTCTGCCTGCGCCCGCGCGCGCCTCCCCCGCGCCGAGGGCCCTCCGCCCGCGTTCACCTCCCCGCTGTCGGGCCAGGAGGAGCGCAGGCAGAGCCCCCCCTGAGCCCGAGGGGCTGCCCAGGCAGTGCTTGCCGGCCGACAAAACGCTACCAGGACGCGGCGCAAAAGTTCACTGCAAGGCCAGGCCCGGAGCGCCGCCCAAGGTCCCGGGCTCCCGCAGCCCCAACCCCGCCGCGCGCGCCTCCGCCAATGTCCCCGACCGCGCACCCCGCGGGCGAGCAGAGCGCACCCGGGATGGGGGATGGCGCAGTCGGCGCAGCCTGGCCCCCCTGCGCCCAGCGCCCGGCCCGCGGCGCGCCAAGTTCAACTTTGGTGGCCGGTGGCCGGTGGCCTCTGGGGGCCACAGGCTGGGGCCGGGAGCCCCCGACGGGACCGCGAGCAGTCCCCGCGCGCTTACCTGCGCCGCTCATTCGACGGGCGTCG